TGGGGGGGGGGTGTGGGTTGGGGCGCGGGGGTTGGTTGATTGACATTGACTTTGTGCTGTGTCGTAATCGGTTAAAAAAAAAGCCAAAAATGCCTGATTTTTGACAATTGCCCATGTCAGTTGATTCAATTGTCTCCTTATTTGATACATTTGGATTTGAATTTCAGGATCTGTTTGTTTTAAAACTTTTACTTAAGTACAATTTCCATTCACGGATAGCTTTTATGTGCAAAACATTTTAATTGACTCATTACTAAGGTACTATTTTTTTCCTAAAATTCTTTTTGCTGTGGCATTTTGACGTTATCTCTGGAAAATCTCATTGTCTTGTTCTTATATTTCCCCTCTACTCTCATAAATGACAAATGTTTTCAAATCATACAATGACAGCATTTTAAAAATATATATATTTCTTAACTCTCAGATCAGTTTTATTTTTGTCTCTTGAATGTTTTCCTGTAAAACTGTTGTTTGACCCATAATATCACAACTTTGTACACTGTAGTTTGGACTCTCAGATCAGTTTTATTTTTGTCTCTTGAATGTTTTCCTGTAAAACTGTTGTTTGACCCATAATATCACAACTTTGTCATACACTGAAGTTTGTTTTTTTTTTCCCCTCTGGTAATATTTTGACTTCATTAATGTGTAATTTTAAGTATTCCACATAAAATTTTGACTCTACTCTCATTAGATTGTTTAAAAATACAACATTTTTGAAAAATACAACATCTGGCTCATTTTGGATCAGTATTTAGGCCTACTACGCGATTAATGTGTAATTTTAAGTATTCCACATAAAATTTGGACTCTACTCTCATGAGATTGTTTAAAAATACAACATTGTTTAAAAATACAACATCTGGCTCATTTTTGGATCAATATTTAGGCCTTCTACGCTACTGTATTAATGTTAGTCATTAAAGTGGTACTTGGAGAGCCAATTCTTTGGGTGGAACTTGGTGTAATAAGTTTGAGAACCAATCAACTAAATGATCCCCCCGTCCGGCCACCCCCCTCCGCGCGCGTGCGTGCGTGCGCGAGCGCGCGCGCGCGCGCGCACACACACACACACACACACACACACACACACACTTACACTCTTACACACGCACACACACACACACGCACGCACGCACGCACGCGCGAAGGGCACATCTATACGCAGACAATTTCAGAAAAAAAATATTTTTTTCAAAGTTGTATCATAATCCACTTTTTGTATCCAAAGTTTTTACGAAGATCACAATGGCGCTTTGACCTGTTTGGAGGAGCTATATAACTAAAAAGAAAGAAAAGAAAAAATGAGGCCACTCTATCGCTGCAGCGTGAATCAACTGCTGTAAATATTTTCAAAAGGTGCGTTCAAGTGCCGCGTGGAAAACTTTGGACTTTATATAACAGCATCGGATTGGAAAACATCTGAAATTTCACGTTACTCCGTCAGGAATCTTTTTTGAAAATGTCGACAAAATGGATCACGTTGGCCAATTGTCGTTATAAATACGAAAAACTGTAGTCATCACTAAAATAAGCATGATGATAATCATGCTTACTCGATGCAGATTGGCATCCATTTTGTGACCCAGTAATTCCCATATTAAACATTTCAATAGACAGAAACAATCACGGAACGAAAACAATTCAATTAATTGAACAAAAGCCATATCACGTCACTTGATTTTTCATCAGTTAATATCGAAAAAAACCCAACACGCGTGTGTGTTTGTTTTGAGAATGTGGATGGAAGCCCGCGTGTGGAAGTGTGAGAGATGTTAGTTTATAACTTTTTTTTTTTTTGACAATGAATAACCTGATGTCCATTGAAGCCTAATCGCGACACTGTGTATCTTCCAGTTGATGATTTATAGAATAAAATTAATAAGAACTCTACGCGCGAGCTCACGAGCTCCACGTGGTTTTGACTTGCTGGGGTTAGTGCTGCTCGGATTATTTTCTCTTGCGGATCTGCCACACTCTCGGGAAATTCATTTCACTCGCGTTTTGTTAAAATAACAATTACAAATATTATTAATAACACCTTTTTCCAACACTTCTCCGTAATGCGTTTTCGTTTCGAGGAGGTAAGTTATTATTTCGTGATTTTCCCTTCAACCTCTTTCATTATCATTCCGAGGTGGAAACTAATAATTAATGTGATTTTAATGTTATCATTAGTCGTTGTTGGAGTAGTAGTAGTAGCAGTATATTACAAGTAGAAGAAATAGTAATAGTAGTATTTCTAATAGTATTCATGTGTTGTTGTTTTTTTTTTTTACCCGAGCACTTTTTCTTCAGTTTCCATTTTGACATCCTTGGTAGGTAAAAAGTATAAACTGCACTCTTTTTATTATTAGTAGTAATCGTATTCATAGTAGTAATGGTAGTCGTAGTAATTGTAGTAGTATTTTGTGTGAAGTACGAGTGGACTTATTTCCAACACCTTTCATTCAACTTATTTCTTATCCTTGGAGGTTAAAGTAAAATATTTCTACTTTATAATTTGTACTACTAATAATAGCAATAGTGCATTAGTAGTAGTAGCAGGAGTAGTAGTAGTAGTAGTATTAGTAGTAGTAGTAGTAGTGGCTAGGCCACAGACTGCTTTCTAACACTTCACCTTCAACTTCCTTTTTTAACCTTGAAAGATGGAAAGTAGAAAATATTCGTTCAGCATTAGTAGAAGTATTGATAGTAGCAGCAGTAGTAGTTGTATTAAGCGTAGTAGCCGTGTGACTGTCAACTTTTTTTCGTGACAGGAAAACATGTCAGGAATCTAACACTGACTCCGACTTCGATTTTGCTCTGCTTGCGAGGTGGAAAGTTGAACTTATGATAAAATTATTATCATTGTTATTATTATTATTTATTTTACTAGTATTAACAGTAGTATTCACGTTGACTAGTCGTAGTAATAGTTGAGTGGTAGTAGAAGTAGTAGTAGGGCCTGGTGTACACATTTTTCGAACTGTCCCTTCAACTTCCCTTTTGTTTAATTTTGAGAGAGAAATTATAATGTATTATTAACATTGCAAATTGTTGTTATTCGATGTTCTAAATAATGTGACCAATTTGTGATTAAGCGTTCACAGGCTGAGGGCGACGACAGGAGTGTGACTTGAGCGTGACTGTCACTTTTTGTAACAAAATTGGCGTAAACTAGTGCAGGACTGCTCGGGGGCACTTTCGCCAATTTTCGCTATTAATTCCAAACAATAATAATCAAAAATAATACGAAGCGGACGGGAAAGTGACTCACGCCAACATGCGCTCGACTTCGGCGCGCTGTTCGGCGGCCTCCTCCGTGTTGAGCGACTGGAGCTCCTTGAGGATGGGCGGCGTGTCGAAGTCGTCGCCGTCCTCCGAGCCCTCGTCGCCGGACAGTTTGGTGGCCGCCTTGCCGTGGCCGTTGGTCAGCGTGTGGAACACCGGCTTGGCGTCACACGACTCGCCGTTGGAGTTGCATTTGTGGCGGGGAGACAGCGGAGGCTGCAGCCTCTCCAGCTTCACCCCGAACCCCGCGGCCGGGTTAGGGTCCATGTCGTCCAACGCTTGGATCAGAACCTCCCTGGTGAGCCCGGAGTCCAGCAAAGCGCTCAGGAGCTCCTGCTGCAGGGACGTCAACTTGGACACTAGGTTGGAGAACATCAAAAAAAAAAAAAAAAAAAAATTAAAAGAAAAGGGAAAAAAAAAGAAGTGTATAAGTTCCGTTTGGGCTCTCCGGTCCGTCTGACACCTGTTCGAGAGCGAGGAGGATGGATCTACTTTGCCATGATGCTGCCGCCTGTCTCCGGGCATATAAAAGATGCTAATGAGTGGGCCGGCTGACGGGGGCTTTATGTAAATGCAACACCAGAAGAAGAAGAACAAGAAGAAGAAGGTAGGAATCGAAATAGAAGAAGAAAACGAAGAAAAAGGGAGGAGGAGGAGGTGGAGGCCCTCTCCGAGTCCGAGGTGTTTACACTGCCAGTCTGCTGCGGTTTTTATTGGTTCCGCTTATCAGACCCCCGACTTTGCTGGACTTTGGACGGCTTATTGTGAGTCATAAAAAGCTAGAGCATGCACTGACACATTTTGCCTGCGAGCTGCGTGCAGGTTGCATGCTGCCAAGGAGCTCCTCGGCATCATCTGAAGAAGCACAAAATGGATTTGGAAATGGGATGATCAAGTAAATTTGGCCTGGTGCTGATGTGCATGTCTGAAAGTTTTCCACATGTGTAAAAATGATTCAAATTCAAATTAGACAATTGGAAATATTTGTATTTTTGGGTAATTGGGTCACTTTCGAAAAAAGTCGTCAAATTTCAGGTTGACAGAATGACATTGACAATGACAAACCGCAGTTGCTGTGGAAACAAGCATTTATCTTGCCCTTTCCACTGACAACTTGTATTCCTCTATTTTTATTTGCATGACAAACAAATTGGAACAAACGCTCCCTCCCACGGCTGCAAGTTAAATAAGCACTCACTGGATGTAGTATCATTACAGTTGATCATTAGTAATATTCCGTGGACGCTTTGTTGTGAATTATCTGCTAAATTAGCCACCTAACATGTAAACACCAGCCAATAAATGGGCCATGATGCTTAGATGGTGGCAGGGGAAAAAAACGACCTCATCGTTCTGCACCCTCAAAGACTTGACGTTATGCTTTCTTATCTGCTGCTATTGTTATTGTGATATCAAGTTGCCGACGCACACCTGAGCTGCCCTTCGCTCCGCCGTAAAGAACAATGTAGTCAACCCTCGCAAGATCCCCCCCCCACGCCCGTGTTTTTTCATGTATTCAGGCTAGAGAAACTAAGGGGACGGACAGGATGGGCAAATGTGACAGGCGGTGATTGCCGTGGGTGCCCTGTAACGAGCGCCATTCTCAACAAGGGTAGAGTCCTGCCGACTCGCA